TAAAAAGAAATCTAGGCATAAAACAAACGGACAGAAACATATCAGAGGAACGTGCATTATTCAATTATGTGTGCACAGAGATCTTGGCTTAAAGCAGTGATTAATAAGACTAATTAGTTCGACTCGATTCGTAAGTTCGATTCTCACGACTGCCCTGCTATTGTGGTCTTGTGCCAGGCTAAGGTACGTTTATTAAATAACGAAATATATATGTGGGTGAATGCATTACATTTGTCAACATGATTGTCTTTCTGTGTGTGTGTGTGTGCGTGTGCAAGTGCGTGTGTGTGTGCGCGTATCTATTCATTGTTCTTTCTTTTCCTCTCACTCTCTCTCTCTCTCTTCCTTTCGTCACCCCCTCTCTCATTGATTGACATACATGTAGATCAACGTAATGTAAATAACCCTTCTTAGTGACAATAAGCTCTCATCTCTCAATTTTTCATCCCACTTGAAAACATTCATAACTCTGCTCTTAGCTGCCCCCAATTCCCAAATAAATACTCTTCCTCCTCCTCTTCAGTTCCCCATTTCCACCCCACTTCTCATTGTCATATCAACCCTAACCCCATCATCCTTACCTCTATAATCTTCGTGCTATCATCTTTTATAACACTCCGCCCGAGTTCCCATGCTCACATACTCACACGAATTGAATCAGACCGATAGACGCAGACAGAGAAACAGATATGCAAATACATACATATACAGACGCACGCAAGGCGACCGTGGGAATGTAGTCCTACCTGTTTTCAGGGTACATTAAATGCCAGGTGGTCAGCCATTTGCCTTCTCCTTTACCCAACTCTATATCCGCTTTTTACACCTCGACACAACAAGAAGAGGAGAAGGATGACAGCAGGTGACAGTGAAGAAAAAGAAAAAAGAAGAGAGAGAGAGAGAGAGATAGAGAGAGAGAGAGAGAGAGAGAGAGAGAGAGAGAGAGAGAGAGAGAGAGTTAGTGAGTGAGTGAATTGCACTGATTTGAAAAAAGACGGAGATTTTATTTACGAAATCTGTTCAATAATGAGACACACTTTTACGGTGTATCCATCGCGGCGTAGCAAACAACAAACCTATACACGAGACGAATAAGGTTGTTTTCTTTCTTTCTTTCTTTCTCGAAAATAGAACCGCGTTTCAAACGCATAGTTTTGTAAGACTAATACATAGGAGGGCGTTGGAAAAATTGGACAAAGATATTTGTGAAGATAAACTCATCTTCAGGATACCGTTGTAAGTTTTGAACATAAGCGAGCGAGATCGAATGCATTTTAATGAGAGAGTAGGATTTAAAGATATACCTTGGCATATAAGAATTTAAATAGAGATTCAGGCATTGATATAAATATTTGGAGAGATAATAGGTTGTAAGATATCGATGTAAAATCACCAAGTCTAACAGAATAAGTTTTATGTAAATCAGTCGTTGAGGAAAGGAAATATAGAAGTGATATTTGTGTATAATTCTAGGACATTTAAAAGTTATAACTGCAAAATATGACAGTAATATTTGAGGATGAGTCAATAAGTCGTCTTTCGTCTGACAGCGTTATTTGTTGACTTTTGAGCTGGAGCTTTCAATGTATTTTGTCGTAGCAAAAGTTCGTTGAGTTTTCTAAGTGAATTTCAAAGACAATATTTAGATATTTGAAAATGGATTTGTTCAACGGCGTATGTGCCATTATGTTCCATTACCTTTCGCCATTACCTTTAAGGCAGCGATATGATTTCGTCCTCCAAGAATTTGGCATCTTTCTGACTCATTGATTGGTTTAAGTGGTTTTTACAGGCTTTCAGAGAATTCCATAATGAGAATTTTGTAGGGGGCAAAATAAGTGGTAATTCGAAGGTGCAAGATCAGGTGGGTATGTTGAGTGTAGTAGAACATCCCAGTCAATCCAGGTCTGCAAAGGGACATGAGGTCTGGCGTTGCTCTGATTGAAGACGGTACACTTTCAATTGGCTAATTCTGGGCGTTTTTCATCAATTTCTGTCTTTAATCGATCTAACTGGGAACAGTATTTGTCTGAAGCCAACGTCTGGTTTCGCGTAAGGAGTTCGTAATACACAAAGCTCTTTCAATTCCACTAGATACACAGCATCACCTCGACGAGATTTTGGAGTGGTTAACGATTGCTCATTTCGTTTTCTCCAGGACATTTTGCACCCCACATTGTTGTAAACAATCTAGTTTTCATCGCCTGTGATCGGTCTTTTAAAAAAAAAAATCGTTCGTTTTTGTTTCGCTTGACCAGAGAAGCGCTGATGGAATTGCTGTCCATCAAATATTTTTCCATTGAGCATCGCAATGATTCACTTATCCAAATGTTTTCAAAAGCCATACAATGCTCATATGAGATCTGTTGAGTATTTTTGCGGTGTTCTGCGTCGTGTAACTTGAATTATTTTTAATCAGTTTTTTTTAACTGTTCATCATCGACGTCTCCAGGTTTACCGGAAAGTTATCTGACTTTTAGATACAAATTTCCACTTCTGAACCTAGCGAACCACTTACGAACTGTATTTTCAGCTATGGCACCATCTCCATAAACGGAACATATCATTTTTGCTCTTTTTATAGTGTTTTATCATTTCAAACATAAAAGCGTATCAAGTAAGGAAAACACATCTCATTTACAATCCACACACGGATGAGATAGAAAGATGTGTTGAAATGTCAACTTTCAGAATCTGTCATAAATTTCAGTCATGTGTGAAATTAAATCACGGGTTCAAACGCCATCTATTGAAAAAAGCTACAAACTCAACCCAATATAATGTTCGAGTTAATATGTTGGAGAAGATTTGGGTTAAGTGAATTGACAACGAAGGAGATATTGTTGAAAAATGTAAAATGAATACATTTATTTCAATGCAGATCTAATTTATATCATTTTTTAAAGGTCACAATAAAATATATATCGATATCTACAGTTGATGTAAAATTTTACACAGGGACTTTTATTTTTTTAAGGAAGCGTTTCAGCTGTTGTATTTTACAGTCTTCTTCAGGTTTATCCTTATTTCCTAGTTTTGTAAGTTCAGTCTCTAGGCTAAGAAGTGCGGCTTGACACCAGCTCAGTGCAAGAGAAGTATGTGCCCATAAAAAGGTTTGATTGACAAGAGGAAATAGTGAGTTCAAATCAATACATTAAATGTTGTAAAAAAAAGGGATTGAAAATGAAAATAACATATATCTCTAGTTGGAAAATTCAATTGTTGACCGGATACGACTGACATTTGAGTAAGTCCCAAAAGTTTGTCCCAAGAGGGGCAACCTTGCCCCAGCCCCTCAAAATGGATATAAAATAGGCGTCTTTACTTTTTAGTATAGTGATTTCAATAAATATAAGAGATCTCCGGCGAGACACGGGAAACACGGGGTAATTTTACTAATAATCAAACGAAACAATTTCATCAAATTCTGTTAGTCCGTCCCTTGACCATAAATTTCAAAATCTACATCTCATTGCCATTCATTTTTTTTTTTGACAACCATCAAGTTTTCATAAAAACTTTTCAATCTCCAACCCTCCTCAGGAGTATATTGTATCCAGTAACAACAAGGAAAGTCTACAGGATGCAATACGAAGATGGATCAATAAGTCCATAGCGTGATACGTATTTAATTGACCTCTGATGTGTGAACTTCGATGTATAATGTTAGATTTATAGAATTAAATTCACCACTGAATGTAATTAAGTGCATTGACAAAGAAAAATATTATGTTGAAAAATAAATATTTACCTAAAATAAATGCTCTTTTTCATCCTTAGTCTACATACTTACTGCTATACACTTGAATATATATATATATATATATATATATATATATATATATATATATATATATATATATATATATATATATCCACGTATAGGATTGATGTATACGGAATAAATTCCAATAACCAACAAATACTATTCTTAAAAGAATGCTCAATACAGAGTAGAGCAAATATAATTATTTATTCGAAAATTATAACATAAATATGTGCCTTATCAAGTGATGGTGTTGAATGTAGATTCTAGATTCAACACCATCACCAGATGTGTTGAAACAAAACGGCTATTTTTGCAGTGATTTTATAACATATTTATGTTATATATATATATATATATATATATTGATATAATGGAATATGCATACACCTGTGTTCCCCCTCACTGGAATATGATTGGCTGGTGTTCGTCATAAATACTGACGGACGTGTAGAAGAGTCAAAGAGCCTTAGTCTGAGAGCTAAGTCTATAACGACGCCCATTGGACTATGCCATTGATCTACACTTCTTACCTGCGACTATGACGTGTACCAGACGATTACTGCTACCGTATTCTACTTGGTTATAGTCGCCAAAACCACTTAGCTACTTCGTTCAAATATGTCCCTGAAAGGGACATATCATATATATATATATATATATATATATATATATATATATATATATATATATATATATATATATATATATATATATATATATATATATACTAGGGTAGGTAGTATACATTTTTCAGATTAACTTTAAAAAAAAGCATGATAGTATTTAAATGAAATAGGAAGTGACTTCAGATCATACAATCCTAGTTTTTAACCTGAGGAAATATAGTAAAAAAATTGCCATAATAAATGGATTAAAATTTAATTACATTTGTTTGAAAAAGTGTGCTATTTCAATAATCAATCCAAAAAGTTTGCTATTTTACTAATTAATGTGTATAATACATAAAAAATTCAAATTAAATTTTAAAATAATTATATTATCAAAGTTATGTTTTGTGTAAATGCCTTTAGAAAAAAAAAGACATTTTATTTGACGATATAGTTCTTTGCTAGTGTGTGTGTCTGTGTGTGTGACTTGCTTCAAATCTATAAACTTATATGAAAAACTTCAGATGTGTATTTATTTGCCCTTTCAGTTTTGAAGAAGATCAGATAATCTCAATTTTGTGCCATTTGTCAGTGACATTATGCAAAATTATTTTAGTTTACAAATGTTACTTTCTGATAGATTTATTAATTCAAGCAAGCATTTCAGTAATTTGAGTTTTAGTCAAAATCCTAGATTGCCTCTAAAACTTATAAAATCGTCTATCTATCTATCTATCTATCTATCTATCTATCTATCTATCTATTATATTTCAGGAGAAACGAGTTCTCATATCTTTAAAGAACTCTTCGGAAAGATCATGGTTTTCACGTTTGCTCATTAAGGTGTATGATTTCTTATGCAATTATGGTAGCGTCATCTTAGAAAAGTTTTATTCCTGTGTGTATTGTGACCGTGTCCAAAAATTCCAAGTGCTCTCTTTTTTGACAACTAGAGAATAAATACACAGTAGAAAACCATTTTTTCTAAAACAGAAAATGCCGGGAAACATTCATTCACTCTCACACACACACACACACACACACAGAGATTGTCCGTAATTTCAGAAAATGTACTTGGAGGTAATCAATATTTGATGAATAAGATTTACGATTGATTTTATGTTTAGAGATAATTTTCTTTATGTTTTCAAATTATAGTCTGTCTATATTTCTGAGATGAGGTATTATGTACATTATTTACATTATTCGGACTATTGTCCTCATCTTTGTTGCCATATTTATTACAACGTTCCGGCCTTCTTCAGATGGTTGGAATGTCGAACTGAATCCTTTATTTCGCTCACTGGTTCCACGTGCCATGTTTGATGGATGTCAGTTATCTCCTGCTAATTTCCCTCTGAAAGTTCTCCACTGCCTTAACCGGGTATTGAACTCACACTCTTTTGGGTCCTGTCACTGGATCTAACCAACGCCTTTATCCACTGTGCCATGTGTCCTTGTTTCAAATTATAATATTTATCTACTAACCTAATTTTATGCATATAAACATATTTAGGGAGCTTGCCGTTAGGTGATGGTTAGTTTAGCAAGTTACTGCAAGCTAAGTTCGATCACATTATTTGTTAATATTTTTAAGATAAAATGATAATATTGATTTGAAGATATTAAGTAAACAAAAATATGAATTAAATTTAAATATCAAATTATTAAGAAAAGATTTTCATGTTCGTTTTCTTCATAAAATAATAGATAGAGATGATGTCGAAAATAAGGAAGACATACAACAATTTTTTATTGTTGTCCTACCTTTTTAATTCATAATTGAATGATTTTAACCAGTTAAATGTGATTATCCGATATACTGATTATTTTCTCTGAAGAGTGTCTCCTAATAAAAACGACTTTTTTGGTCGCTTTCAAAATAAATTACAAGCAACTCTGAATTGAACCTAAAGATATCCACAGTTCTGTACAAGGTTTTAAATTTTCTTCACGTTTTCAGTGCGAGTAATTCGCAAACATCAAATACTTGTAATTTTTATGCTTGCCTTTCGATCATTGATCCTTTGGCGAAGAAATTAATCCCGTATGATGTATTCGGAACTGCGTTTAGTCTAGAAAAGCTAAATTTTGTATCAAAATGACAAATTCGGTAAATGGCTATGAAATTCACTTAACCTCAAAATGCCATTGAAAACTTTGGAACTATCATGAGGGAGCGTGTTGAAAATATTCGCATGGAATTTCTCAAAGTATAGCATGACAGCATCGTTTTTGGTCGCATTTGGCGCGTGTGAGTGGCAAAGTTTTGAATGAAAGGCGAACAATATTAGGAACCTCATTTGCTTTTTCTAAAGACATTGAACGTTTCTGATAGATCAATTAAGAAATATTGATTCTACATAGATTTAGTATTGCTTGCAAAAAAAAAAAAAAATCTGATTTTATTTTAAGATACGCTGTTCTGAGCTGGAGTTGAATCATTACATCTGCTTCTTACTGCATAAATATCGCAGGCCAATTCGAAAGTTGTCGTGAAAACTTGTCTTGTAACTGAAAAAGATATGTATTTTACATAATCGCCTGTCATTGTTAAAGTAAAATGATAATTTTTAAAGTGGCTGTCCTGTCTAAGTTGCTGCAGTACAAATTTCCGATTTATTTTTTCTCTTTTTTAGCCTTGTGTTTCACTAAAACAAGTTCAGCAAATATTTATAACAAGTAATGATACCGCACAGCACTAGACAATCGTTTCTTTATTTGCAACATTTGTCATAAAATGTTATTAGTGAAATTGTCACCATTTTAAAGGTGTTCGATAAGCTTAAACCTCTTTCATGTATATGAAATAAACGACAGGTAATAATATTAAAATGTTATAATATTTGTTACATTTTCAAAATGAAAAGTTATTTTGAATCTACAATTTTTTTTTTCATTAAACAACAACCGCTAAGATGGCAAGATAGAATACATGCTGGTAGATATATAGATAAAGCTGCATGTATTTGATTTTAAGTAATATTTGCACGCAAAGACAACCAATTTTTTTATATTTCATTTCTGAGTGAACACACCCGTACAAACTCTGAACTTTATATATTAAATGAATACTGTCAACACTTTCTTACCGCCCCAAAACAATAAACATTAGCGACATCAGATAGAAAAAAAGAAATGACACTGATTTGCTAAGCGGAGCTTTATTTCTGACAAGTCTGGGGGCATCATCATTGAGTATCAAAATTTTCACAACTAAATGATGGTCAACCATTAATTTTTACCCTATGCCGATCATTTGAATCTTATTAATTGTTAATTCTTAATCAATCAATTTCGATTTTTCTTGTAAACTGCAAAATATTTTTCATTCTTGCTTGATAGCAACTGATCAAATCATAAAATGATAGAAGTTATTTTCAACTTAAATTTCATGCTTAAATTTTCTGAAAACCAAATTTGAACGAATTATGATGAGAAAGTGAGCGATAAAAAGGAACGGAAATGAAGATGAAAAAATACAAAGAAAATTGATATCTAATAATAAAATTCAAGTAGTGTTATTGTTCCTTAAAATTAAAAACAAGCAAGAACTTATGTATCTTTGAAAAATATGTTATTCAATAAATAAATTCGTTTGTAGTCTTTAATGAATTGAATCATAGCAATTATGTATAAAAAAATGTCACATTGCTTTACATAAAATTAAAATTTTGTTTATTAACGTGTTTGCTGGTATCCATTTTTTTTTAATATGTCAAGTTAACCATTTTAAACAGAGATACGTCAAATTTTACTGATGTAATTGCGTTTTTTTTTTTGTACGATGTTCTTTTAGAGACAAATGTAATTTTTCCAAACTAAAATTTCTCAATTTAAAAGAAAATGGTAACAATTGAATTACAAATTTAAAAACCATTCTCCAAAAACAATTCTGCAGAATGCAAAGATTTCTTAACGGACCAAAATTTTTATGTGAAACGTGGAATTAATCTCTACACCATATGTAAGAAAAAGGTCGTGCCAAACTGAAGTGATTTTTCGGCGAAAACCCGTTGTGTATTCGCTTTCATTTTAAATACATGTGTATATCTATGTGTGTCAATATTGAAATGTGAGGGTGTTTACACGCAATTGCTTATATGCCTACGTTTCTACACTTTAGAGTGTACGTGTAGTAAAATGCGTGTATATGGTTCCCAGCATCTGTGTATACGTATACATGGAAAACAGTGTGTCTAAGTGTATGGCACGTGCTTGTGTCACCCTCAAGGAATGTGTGAGATATTGTTTCCTGCGTCGGCACGCTGGTCTCTCAGTTTTTCTGCCCACTCCTAGTACGAGTGTCGTCTGCCGCTTAGGCCACAACACCGCCACCTCCTAGGCCTAAAACCAGTCAGTCAAGTCCACGAACCCATTTCCCCTTCTCTCTTTTTTTTTCTAGCTTCTTTGTCTATGTGTGTGTGTGTGTGTGTGTGTGTGTGTACTTTTTCTTTCTTTTCTCTTTCTCTGATATTTTCTCTCTGTCTATCGACCTCTCTTCTTTTATTTAACGACCACCCTTGTTTTCGTCAGCTCTCTTCTGCATCTGCCTATAACTCATACCGTGGGAACGTCGACTCTAACTTGTGCCCACGTGTTTGTGCCGACGACACTAACACAAGCAGCAGGAGATCCCCACTACCACCTCCATCCTCACCATTCCCTTTTCCTGGTCTTCTTGGTCTTTCTTTCTTTCTTTCTTTCTTTCTTTCTTTCTTTCTTATTGTGGTTCTTATTTTTTGGTTCTTTTTCATCTCGTTCTTCACCATGTTTAACTTTTTCTTTTTTTAACAATATTTATCGGGTGCGAATACCCACCCTATCGGCTGGACGACACACTCCTGACACCCGACTCTAGTCACCCGAAAATCATGGCTTGCCACTAGAAATATTAATTTCTCTATATTTTTCTCGCAAACCTTTAAAAATTAGGTGTTGGAATCTGTTTTCAATCGACATTTGCATACCTATACAATACATACATATCTATCTATCTATCTATCTATCTATCTATCTATCTATCTATCTATCTATCTATCTCAATGGGCAGCAATGTTTTATGCTGGTTTGATTGAAGACCACGAAATTTCTTTTGAGTTTTTTCTTTTATTCAATTTTTCAATGGTGAACATTTTTCTGGTTTCTATGAACAATTTGAACATGATTTGTCCAATATCTTTTGAGTGTTTTGGCTGCCAATAAGCCATTATAAAACTGTTCAATTTTTGTCTTTATAGGGTTGTGTTTGTGCGCATGCTTTGTGTTTTCTTTGGTAATTTTGGAATGTCATGTCTTCAAGTATGTGTCATGTTTTTTTCCCATTCACGCACTAGTTTGTGGTTTTATGATCTTTTTGTATATATGTTTTATTATTAGTTGTGGCATAATTAGTTTGATTATTCCTAAATTGAATAAAACTTTATTGATGCTGGGTTGATTTTTATGGCCAAGTATCTGTATTTTTATGGCTTATAGTATTTGTATTGGTTTATGTCGAATAAATGACATGTTAATCTACACGATAAAAGCACGATTGTGTAACCAATGTATATGTTTGAATTGTTATTATTAGAGGGAATTCTCTAAGTTGGAAGGCGATTTCATAAACAACATTAGTTTGTTGAAGTTTTGATATTTGATGCTGTATCGTTGATGGTGATCATAGAGAATTTTTAAAATAAATAATGAATTTATTTAAAAAGTCATCAGGGAAAGAAACAGCATATCCCCCGTAAAACAAAAACGTAGTAAAAATATTCATTTAAACTCATGCACAAACATCCCTCCCCTTATGAAGCACTCTCCACAAGATATTCAACGAAAACACAGTAAAAATACAGTTACATCTAGAACACGAATCAAATAATAAATAATAAAAAAGATCAACAGAAAAACATCCAATAAACCATCAGCACAGGTCAAATCCATGTGTAACTACAGAACAAAAAACAAATCTCCCTTAAATGATACTTTCTTGCAAAACAATGTAATATACCAAGCAACTATAAAATCAGAAAATAACTAAGAAAAACATATACATCTACAAAAGCCAAATGCACGTCAACAATAAGCAAGATTAATCTTCACTTAGAAATATCATAAAGAAATACACTACTTGAGTTGACCCGACTGAAAAATTAAATTAATTATCTATTACAAAAAATTTAAAACAGTTAACCTTATCCACAAAACTAACGACACACCTGCAAAATCAAAACTACAAAAAACAAAACAAAACAAAAACAAAACAAAAACAAAAAAAACAACATTATTTACGATTTCAAATGCCCTTTTACGAACTGATCAAACAAAACTCAAAAATAATTACATTGTCACACTACTACAGGTCTATTCAGACGACTTACATTACACCTATGCGACTACAGCTCCATTAGAACTCATTTAAACACACGCACAAACCTACCAGACTGTCCGAAACATACTAGTTGAAAATACATCCACATGTAAAAAAAAGATTAAAAATAATGAAAGCCCTAATAATAAAAAAGAAAAAGCTAACACTCAGTAACATTAACTATGAACACAGTCGCAATGTGCTGACCGTGTTTGGAAAATAAAACATACTATAACTCTGGATATATGCACATAACCCATACATTCAGTTAAAAAGTAAAAATAAATTAATCCCTGATAATGGCTAAAAGTATAGCCGAAAGGACTCGGAAATGCAGAACTCTTGGACAATTTTTACACACTTTGTGTCTAGAAAAGAAAACACTTGTATGAACACAAGAAAAATTAAATAAAAAGACTAATAGCAGTATGTTGTCTTTAACGAAACATATATAAAAGGATTGCTGTCTAAATAGAACAATTATATATATATATGCATGTATGGGTATGATAAAAATAAAGCCTCTTGGTTATAGTTTGTACAAATAAAATATCATCTTCTCCAAGATATTAAAACAATTATCTGCATTTATCTTGCCACTACTATCAACGCTGAAGGAACGATAATTTTACAGTTTACAATAAAGGTCTCACACCTTCAAGTTGTCTTCTAAGTCATGGCGGGTGACTATTTTCATGAAAAACTCGAATCTCTCTCTATCCTCTCTCTCTCTCTCTCTCTCTCTATATATATATATATATATATATATATATATATATATATATACACACACACACACACACACACACACACACACACACACACACATATATATATATATATATATATATATATATATATATATTAGAAGTATTCTACGTTGCCGAGGGAAAATAAACTTCAAATCCAAGGAGGACATGTTTCTTAAAATAGTTTTTATACAAAATAACAAATGAAAAGATCAAAAATAGTAGGTGTTACTGAAAAAAATATTCTAATGCCGAAAACGAAACATATAATTTTTATTCCCTTAGGTTGGCAGGACTTCGAAGTAAGCAGAATTAGTTCCTTTCTCACTATGACAGTTGTTTCGGGATCTAACCATAGAATAACTAACATTCAGTTCACTATGAGAAAAACAAAGAGTTTAGATTGAACAAATAGATCATGAAGGATTGTCCTTTTGTTTTGCTGGATGGAGGTCATTGCGAATCTGAATACCAAAGGAAGGGAATTCTACGGAATGAATGCTTCCTTCTTTTTGCTTATCCGATATACTCATTGTTGAGTCGACGACATGTGGCAAAAGTGGTTTGACAACGATGCCAGTTCCATTGTTAGATATTCCAGAGAATCATGATAAATATATCATATTTTATCTGAAAACTGTTTTTTTTTTTCGTAAAACAAGGAACTTCAAGTGAAGAATTCAGTTAGATTATGAACAACTTTGGAAGTGTCTGTTACTGTATCGATTTGTACGGTTAAATTTGTTGCAATACCTTTGGGTTTAGTTTTTCGCCAGCATCATTTTTGGAAGGCCACTGATAGTTTTTGTAGTATTAGACTATTTATTACATTTAAAATAAGTGTAAAAATGTCAAGTTTAATCCTAGAACTGATACATTTTTGTTTGAAAACATTTTACAGGGTTTCACGAAGTTTTACAAACAAAACAGTAGAAATCAAGCTTTTAGCTCATGAATTTCTTTTGTTTGGTTGACAAAAGAGTATTTTAATCCAAAATTGACCTTTAGTGACCTCCATTGACCTCGGAAGACCACCTACCCTATCATCTTTTTATTACCCAAGTTATCCACATTTACCAGTTGACCTCCAAGAATGTTTCGCTGCAATACAGATTATAAAGGCCATAAAAACTAATTTTGCCTCCAATGACCACAGAAGTCGAATTTGACCTTATCCGTCGTACAAATAAAAAATGAAAAAACAGTTTGGAACTTCATAGTGAACTCAATATCACACTCCATTTTGCTAAAAATTGCTTAATTCAGCTAGAAATGGTATACTAGGTACTTCAATGACCTTTATGGTATCTTCGACTAAGATCCGAGGTTAACTTTACGAACTTATTGAGTTCTTGACTTTATACATGCAAAAAATGGGGAGAGGCACTTTAACTTGGCCAAGATATCCGAACACACATACACACAAGATATCTTGTTTAATATTTACTATATGTATGGGAGAAGAGTGGGAGAAGAGTGCTCAATATCGGAGATAGAGCGTTTGTAGATATACATAAGCATGGTTGATACTCAACACTGCATTGTGACTGTCAATCTTCACGCTTCAAGCGATTTCAAACACATTGTCAAATGATCGTTTGAGCCATCACGTTGACAGTCATCATGCAGCATTGATTTTTATGTTTACACTTCAAATTTTTATATACATTCACCCCATTATATATATATATATATATATATATATATACACGTTTCTAATAATTCTAATAGCTATATATTTATATATACAGGAAACACATTACTTAAGCAAACAAAAGTCATGGCAATAAATTGCAAAACTGATCTTATAGAACTCGAGTCTTAGTACGCATGCGTGAACCACATTAATTTTCTGTTTTTCGAGGGGCATTAGAACATTATTTGTCTAATATCTCATGAGCGTTTTCGGCTTTATCAATGAGCTTTATTTTTATGCTGATAAAGCTGTGTTTATGTGCATGAATTGTGTTTTGGACGAAAAAATGTTTCGAACCATAAAAAATCAAATTTAAAAATCATGAACAAAGAACTTTCTTTGGACTTCAACTAAACCTGCGAAAATTACTGCCGAAAGACAGCCAATCAACTAATGGCCGAACATAAACAAAGCCTGAAAATTTCAATCGGCACGCATTTTCAATTTGAAGTTACACATGAATTAAATGTGTATATTTTTCTTGCATGTTATAAAAATGGTTAGGTGAAACGTACAATAGGACACCGCTTTGATATTTTTTAATGAAATTGGACAAAATGGCTACCGAAACCTTTCGTATACTGATTGAAATTTATGAAGAATGTCATCTTCCCCCATATTTTTTCGAGTGGCACGAAAGATTGTGTGAAGGTCGAGAGGATATAGAAAATGTGGAATTTTGTCATGTTCAGACGTTTGTGCTGAATTTGTCCAAAAGACTTTTGGGGGAGCATTTTTGTCTTCACTATGATGTTAAGTCAATAATTATTCCAAACGATTTGTCTGATTCTTTAAAACTTTCTCACCTGTTCCTGATATCCGCCGTAGCATTTATAATTACTCATTGGTTAGTCTATTCGACATGGTTCGTGCATGTGCAGTGTAGATCAAGTAGAATAATATATATATATATATATATATATATATATATATATATATATATATATATATAACAGTAAAAATGTCAATTTGTTAGATTAAGCTTTGAACGGTTATATCTTAGAAATAATTAAAGATACAGAAATTCTCCGAGGTTTTTATAACACTACTGGATTCTACGTTGAGCAATAAGAATGTATAAATACTCCCCAGCCATAACAGAAAATCTTGATGAAATCGATCATAAACGAAAATAACAGGTTCATTATTATCTAATCATAGCTAATGATCGGAATATGAATATATATATATATATATATATATATATATATATATATATATATATATATATATATATAAAATTTAAACTTTATATCAATCCTTCA